CAAAATATTTTCCGTTAGCGTTAACATACTTTTTCAAACGAATGAACCAATTTTGAAAACATTTATGTCGCTCCTCCGTGACAATGTCTGAAACATATTTTTCATACTCTTCGACAGCCTCTTCAGGTGATGAAAATCGTTGACCGCATAACTATACGTGAGATGGCTTATAAGGTCAACGTTGTTCACCTTCAAAAATTCATTTGTCTGTCTGGCCGTGTGTGAACTGGCATTATCATGGTGCAAGATGATTCGGGGTTTACAGTTTTTTTTACGGAGTGTGTCTATAACTTCCGGCAAACAAATGGTCGTGTACCAATCACTATTCACGGTACAACGATTCTCTAAAGCAATAGTAGCCACGTGTCTAGTTTTATTAAAAAAAGAAGCAATCATCCGTTTAGAGGCACTTTGCACGCGCGCCACTTTAGCTGCTTTCGGCTCATCTCGAAAGACCTATACGCTCGATTGCTGCTTTGTTTTGGGATCGTAACTATAAATCCATGTTTCGTCACCTCTTACTATGTCTCACACCAAATTTGACGCCCCTTCGTTGAATCTGGTAACCATGGCATTGCACCAAGTGACGCGATCCGTTTTTTGAGCCTCAGTCAAATTGTGTGGAATCCACCGAGAGCACAGATTTGTCACACCCAAATGTTTGTATAGTATTGATTGCATTTGACTCATGCCTATGTCTAAGGGTGCCCGAATCTCATGGTATGTCACATGCCTGTCTGTTTTGATCACACGGCGCACAGCATCGATGTTTTTGTTGTTCACGGGCGACCATCACGAAATTCGTCATTGAGATTCACACGACCACGTTTGAATTCTGCAAACCAGCTATAAATAGTCGTCATGCATGGTGCTTGATCGCCAAAAGCAGTTTGAAGCCGAGCGAAGCTCCGCTCAGCTGTTAAATTACACTTAAAGTTGTAGAAAATCATACTACGAAAATTTTCATGAGTTCAATCCATGGTGATGTAGACAACCAATTTCTGGAGTGACGCCACAATGTAAAAACAAGTGACAGTCAGATGGAACAAACTGTATTCTATAGTCAAAGAGTTCCATTATCAAATGTTGTAATAACTTTTTAAATATTGTTTATGTAAGTGGCCCGTTCGGAAACTTAATAGAGCGCCCTATTTATTACAGCAATTGTATGATTCGTTGTATGTACTACCTAATGCCGGATGCAGGGATTAAAAGTGGTCGGCGTTACAGCACGTGCAACATTGAACACAAAATGCTTATAGGTGCGATAGAATTTGTAATGATTTTCTTTGATCACCTCTATCGAAACCTTTTACATTGTACATATACATATTATCTTAAAAGCATGCAATTTGTGTTCAAGTGTGCATGCACTGAAGCGCCATTAACAGTTACCTCTTCTAGTTCCTTGTTCGATGTTTATTGGTATTGGTAGGGGCAATATAGCATGGTACATAGAATACGAAAAAAATGAAATATTATTTATTTTACGGAATATTGTATCAGTTCGATAATTTTATATAAATGACTACCTTGACATAGAAAGATCAAAGCCTCTGTGGTCAAACGGTTACCATATAAATAGGTATATATAGGTCTGCCGCGCAGATGTCCCGGATTCAATTCCCGGGCCGGGAGAAATATTAGTATGGCCTACATTTATTTCTTTCGTGATTTTGGGTGTAATTCTTGGTAGTCTATATGTGTGTCCATGGCACCCGCGACAAAGAGTTTGTTAGTGTGGGGCCAGGAATATAAAAAAAAAGAAAAAATGCAGAGCTCTGTTGGTTGCCTGTTCTACAGTTGAAGTTAAAATCACGCTTTTTAAAGCAATATTGACGGACACTCTACACGAACAGCCTATGGGTCAACTTTGTTTAGAAAGCCTACAATGCCCTACGAATTCAATACAATAATGTGTTCAGGGCTCTGATTAGGCTTTCTCGTTACCGTAGGGCCGTTGTTGGAGTAGATTTTTAGGGCACTTTCAAATAAACGCTTATAGAAGCGCTACAGTGGCATCACCGTGGCGGTGTAGTCGCGCCGCTACTAATTTTCATACAATATTAATAAATGCAGATGTACACAGTCACAGCCACGCTACGCGTGCACCAATTATCTGCCGTGCTTACAATGTTAACAGTAAGTATGTTTGAAATACATATAGACTTACTGTTCTTATCGTAAACACGTCAGTTTTGCAGGCTAGATATTGTATGAAAATTAGTCCAGGAAACTTGGCATATTTTCCAAGGTGAGGCGTTACTTCACACCGGGACACTTGCTTCAGCTGTACCAAGCAAAATCCGGTCGTGTATGGAGTACTGCTGCCATTGGGATGGCTCTGCTAAATACCAACAGGCCTTGCATTCAATAGACAAGCATGCTAAGAGGCTTATAGGTGACTCGGAGTTAGTAGAGGCGTAGCTGCAGAGCCTTGAACACCGCCGTAGAGTTTCCAGCTTATCGGTATGCTACCGGACATATCACGGAGAGTGTGCGATGGAATTGCATAATTTGATTCTGCCTTCCCCTTTCCATCACACCCCTATGTTGTGGATATTCCCCGGATTCGCACGAAGCGTTTCGCTTCCACATTTGTATGGCGAGCGGCCAGGGAATGAAATTCCCTGCCTGCTGACTTGTTCCCCGAACGCTGTAACTTAGACCTTTTCAAGGCGAGAGTGAATAGGCATTATTTAGGTGTGCATGCTACATCCTTGACCTCATCGTCACTTTCCATCAGGTGAGTCGGAGGTCAAATCGATCTTATTTTTTTTTTACAAAAAAAGTAATTTTTTATTTTATTTAAGTTATTTTAGGATGGTTTACTGCTATAAGTTATTGCAAACCTCCACACTTGCATATCAAAATTACAAACCAATAAGTAATATTGATCTTACGCACATTCTCAAATAACAAGTACAATTTCAATTGCATATATGTGTTACATACACATCTATATCCATTTATGTATATACCTTACATCTATTGCATCTATAAAATATAAAAGTTTAAGCATACCTACAATTATTGTTGGTCAAAGTAATTCAAACTTAGTGTTTGTCTAATGGTCGTGGTGCTTGTCGCAAACAGATTAAAGTCATATAAGTAATGGCGCGGCTGTCGCGCCACAGACGCGACTGTCCAATTTGGAGACGCCCTTAAGCACTGATGCGAAAGAAAGTGGCACCCTGTGAATGCGATAGAAATTGGACAGAGAGAATTAATATAACAGTTAATAGAATATTTAATAATAATTGTGCATTGATGAGTATTAGTTACAGTTAAAAACTGATTGCGTTATAATAATAATCAAATATTTATGTTTATTTTTAACCGACGTACGGCTACGTCCAACATTGAACTTTGATTTGCTGCATTGACATGGTCTAGTTATAGTTTTATTTTGCAGTAGTAAGATGTACTAATTCTAGTAATTTTGTTGATGTGATAAATCGTAATATGACATTTTATTGTATTTTTAAGACAGTTAGTTACCAACATCAAAACATTAATTATCAATAACATTAATTTTTAACATTAGGATTTTTAAATTATATGAATAAAATTGCAGCTGGCAGCGTTCCCCCTTTGTATTGCTATGTTAAAGCGTTGGGCAAGGTAGGGTTGGGGTTTCTAGAGAGTCTATTAATTTTTACGATAAAATTTATATAATATTTATAATAATTTATAATAAAATTTATAATAATAACTACTCCGAAAACAGCCTCGTGACAACGGTTACTGCGTCGCCATCACGAGGTAACATCCTGTAAGGCATAGTCGTTACTCTGCCCTTATAACCGACTTCAAAAAAAAGAGGAGGCTCTCAACTCGGCTGCATTTTTCTTAGTGTGTATGTTAGGCGGTTACTTCAGTCGGCATTTGTGAACCGATTTAGATGATTCTTTTTTTGTTGTAATGAGGGTACTTTATTTATTTATTTTATTTATTTATTTTGAATTTCACTTCTAAGTATTAGTCCCGTTTAAATTTGAAGAAAATATTTCACATCTAAGGGTGGTAAATCAGGGAATGAATCCGGTTTTCGGTAACCGATTTCAACTTGGCAAATACATGTAATTCCACGAACTTTTAGAGTCGGTTTTTTTATAAAAAATTAATATGACAACCCTTACTGTGTATGACAGCGCAAGTGGTAACGTGGTAACATCAAAGGCATTGCGCTACTTTGGGCAAGATATTGTAATACTGTGACGTCTCTGGGCACTTAAGTTATGGCTTACAATCGTTATTAAGTCCTAATCAATGTTGGGTAGGATCTAGGTCACTTAAGATGATGTCATTCAAGATGTCAATGATTATAGTCTGTTAATAGAGGAGAAACAGGTGCATCAAGAAATTTTAGTGAGTTCTCAGTCAATGCGTCCTTAATACTTGAGTAAGGATATTTTTATTAATACGTACGTAGAGTAGGTTTTGAGAAAAGTGACAAGCTTTATAATAAGACATAAGGTATTTTTACTAGTAAATATAAATATTAGACAACATACACACATACACATAAGTTGCTCTGATGCCAAATTAACTAAAGCACTTGTGTTATGGAAATTGAAAACAACGACGATACCACAACAACCCACACCCCAGACAATATAGAGAAGTAAGTTTTGCTTCATTGACCTGGCCAGGGATCGAATTCGGGACCTCGTAGATGGCGACACCATGAAAATTGATGCGCAAGCCACTCGACCATGGAGGTTTTTCTATGAAACAATGTTTTTACCCTAAACAATTCTAACAAAATAAATCCAGACATATTAACTAAATAAGACATTAATAAGTTTGTATTCCGTGACTAAACTGGATTTTTTTATATTTCGCAAATGATATGGGGCCTTACTTTATAAGCTTTCTGCATTCAGTAGTCAAAACAATGACAATTTACATTTTTCATGATAATATCTTACTGCGCTTGTCCGGAATAGACTGAAATACGCATGCGTGAAACTCACGCAAAGATGGCTGACGGTGCCCGGTTTCCAATCCATTGTACCAACAAAATTGCGTTCTAAAATCTACATCAAAGGACAAATTCAAAAAACACAAAGTATAATCGAAATTTGAAACGTAAAAACAATAAAAAGTGGCCAGTTTCTTGTGCGAGCAAATAAAAACAAAACGAGTTTTCGTCTGTAATAACTACGGGTTGTGTTGACAGGATTGGTGGTAATTAGTGAAGATGAGTGACAATATTTTTTTGGGATCTGAAATTCTTTTATACTTCGTGTGAATTTGGCACGCGCCTTTTGTGACGCTTGTATTTAGATGGACGAACAAAATGACGTTTGCATGAGAAACTGAATACGTGAATGCGGAGAGAAAGATATATGTATTTCGGATAGAAGGTACGTTTTTGGTCATTCTTAATTAATTAGATAGTTATATGCACATAATAATACACACGAGTATCTATTAAATGAGTAATCTTTTAGAACTGAGAAGCGTAAGCACTGAAGTATATGTATACATATTATATGAAACCAGATGTTGTATATCTTGACTTAAATTGATTAAATATGTTTCGTGAAATATTAAGTAAAACATTTTAATAAACATTTTTTCAGTTGATTCTTTAATATATGAACCTAATAGTCGTTTATGATGTTTATATGACGTGTTATTCAATGGCTTATAACTTATTTATAAGCCATTATAAATATAACTTATTTATAAGCCATTA